CTGCCCCTCCCTTAGTGTCCTAGTGGGGGAAAAGGCATTTGCTGCTCAGACCCCTCCTCAGTTACAGAGGATGGTATTAAAGAGACTGACCTGGTTTAAAAAATTTTTAAAATATATTACAATGTAATTTATTAACAATATTAATGGTGCCCTGTCCCCGAAGGCTTCAAGGCCAAGGCTGGTGGACACCTTCCACCAGACCAGGTTGCTCCAAGTCCCATCCAACCAGTCCTTGAAGACTTCCAGGGATGAGATCAGGACAAATGATCGGTTTGGGCAGTTTTGCATGTGGGAGACCTACGGGAAAATCAGGCTTCTCTGTGTGTGACATTTTGCAATTCCACCCTCAGCTGCTGGTTCTGAGTTTGACCCTTCCCTGCTCTCTGGACACGACTGGGAGAGAGCCCACGAGGGGAGTCTGCTCCAAAGGGAAGGGAAAATCCTCCCCACCCCCCGAATCACAGTCCAAATCACCTTGATTTAGTAGAACCAGAATCTTTATTGATCTCACTGTAACAGCAACCACTGGCGAGAGCTTTTCTCCTCCCGAACACCTGCTTGAAGAGACGGTACAAAACAACAGAAATCCCAAAGGGATCCCCTGACTAGCAGAGGAACACCCCGGCGAGGCCAGGCACTCCCTCCCTGCTCAGCCCCAAGCCCGCTTACAAAAGAGAACCTTTGGGGACAAAAGTTGCTGGGATGGGGAACGGAGACACAGGGAGGTTGGGGAAGGGGGCATTTAGAGAAAAAAAAAAATAAACAACAAAAAAGGTTTCCCTCCGGCTCCTGTCCACTCAGTCACGTTGTCCTTGGATATGGTCTGATTGTTTTTGGCTAGCAGAGCAGGTTTCCCAAAAGCTGCAGCTGTGCTGAGGGCGCCAGGTCCCTGCATCCACGGTGGCCGTCCCCGCTCTGCCGAGGATGTCCTCGCCCCCTGCCCCTCCCTCGATCCGAGGGCCTAACCGACCTCCTAGGATCTTCGCTTCAAGGAAAATATATTCATTTATATATAATATATATATTTGTGTGTGTCTTATCACCACCCACCCACACGCACGTACATATTGCTACTCGCACTCACTCACTCGTGCGCCCGCGGCGGCCGGGCTGCCGCGCTCACCTCACCTCCCACGCCAGGGAATGGATGGGAAAGACAACCCGTTCCCTGGGGTTGTGCTTTTGCTTCTTCCTCCCCCAGCCCCAAAACAAGGGCCAGCCCCCCCTCCACTCCCTGTGAGAAAAGCAGCTGGAAGATGGGAGCTCGCCACCAGCGCCGCCCCGTGCCAAACACACCTAGAGAAATAAATTACGGGATGGAAAGTGCACAAAGCCTGGGGGTGTCCCCCTCCCCAGCACGGGTCCCCCAGGCTGGGTTCCAAGGTGGGGAGCGACCCCAGCGAGGGAGGGAGGATGGATGGAGCAGGCACTCAGGTGGGGGCTGATAAAATGGCACTTGAGAAGGCTGTGGAGCTGGTGATGGCTCCCAACAGGCAGTAAAAAATCAGAACCGGTGGGGGCTGGTGGGACTGGGGGGCGCAGCCTTGCCCAGCGCTGCTCGTCAGGGCAAGAGTCACACGGAGAGAGGGGGAAAAAGAAACCCCATCTCCAGGGGAGGTTCAAGATGGCCATGCCATGCCAGGCTGGCAAAGGGGAGGATAATGTGGAAATGCTTTATCCACAACAGCATGATCCGGTTGGGAGAAGTGCCACCCGGAAAAGTGAGCAGAGGATGGCATCGATGGCAGCACCCTGCAAGGAGAGCACTCCATCCCTGCGGTGTCCCCATAGACCCCAGGGACACCCAGTGATTCCTGAGACATCCAACGGTGCCAGAGGGATCTCCCCCCTGTAGGATTCACATTTTAAAAGGCTGGGGGGTAAAAAAAACCCCGAGCACTACAAAGCACTTTCCCAGAGGCACTCGGCCCCAGCCCAGAAAAAGTCGTTGGGGGTAAAGTGCCCCTTTTTAGTACCAAAAATAAAAGCAAGGGTTTTTATAATATATGGCTACATTGCTGTGAGTCCTGGCTGGTGGGTGGGGGACACAGCCCCTGGCTGGAGGGCCAAGATGGCAGAAATCCAGGTTGGAGAGATGTGAACACGCTGGCTGATTCCATCAGGGACTACATCGGAGCCCTGGAGCACCAAAGGGAACAGGCTCCCAATGCTGTCCTTTGCTGAATGCCAACACATCCCAGGGAAACTCAAAAAATACCCTCCCCAGGGTGCAAGCAGGTGCATGATTTTAGGAGTGATGTTTCCCCCTCCTCCCAAAAGGCTGCCCGAATTTTCCAGGAGAAGGGGGCAAAGGGGGTGACACAGCTCCAGAACACCAAGTTGCTGGCAATGGGAGGTTTGGGTAACAAAAGAAGGGAATTTTGTGGGGGCATGAGGCAGCAGAAGAGGCAAAGGGATGTTTTAAAAAGAAGCCTGGTGGAGATCAGGCTGCTGGCAGGTGGAAGAGGAGGAACAGGGCCGGATCCAGAAGGGATGCTCCGTCTGGCACATGGTGGGACCGGTCACCCGCAAAGGGGGAGAAGACAGAGCTGCACTCCCCCCCTAAAAGAGGGGGAGGAGGAGGGCGGGGAGGGGACGCTGGTGGGGACCACTGCCACCTCCACCTCGCCGGGACGGATCCTGCTAAGCCGAATGGGGGTGCACAGGTCTGGGGAGTCGCTGCCTCTCCGTGGTTCCCGCTCAGATATCCATCTCGAACTGAGCATCGTCCCCTGGCAAGAGGCAAGGAGAGCAGCGTTAGGGGCGTCATCCTCCACCCCAAATCCCTCCTGTCCCACCCCGGGGATCCCTTACCCACGGAAGCAGTGTTAGGGGCGTCATCCTCCACCCCAAATCCCTCCTGTCCCACCCCGGGGATCCCTTACCCATGGATGGCTTGCCCTCCTGGTGGTTCAAGCTGTTGGTGTCCGCTTTGGGCTCCTCGGCGGCCTCGCCGGGGCTGGTGACGCCGGGAATATTGGGGAGGTGACAAGGCGGGGTCTTGGCCATGGGAGAGTTGCGGCGGTCCAGCAGGAACTTGCGGTCGTAGATGATCCGGGTGCCTGGGGGGAGGACGGGAGCAGAGTGGGGGAATCCGGTTCGGCAGCGCTTGTTTGCCGAAGGAGTTTCCCGGCGGGACGGGCGTCCCGGCCAAGGTTCTCCGCCACAGATCGGCGGGGAGGGCTGGGGGGTGCGCGCCGCGGCTCTGCCCGCTCTTATCTGGGCACAACAGGCGATAATTCGGCGCTGGCCAAACACCCCGGCGGCAACTGGGTCCCGGCTGCCCCGGGGCGCTCAACGCTGGCAAACTCAGGGCAGGGGTGGGAACGCGTCCCGGGGATGCCGATGGAAGCGGCGCCCCGAAACACCACGTGTCCCTCTGCGCTGCACGGGGACGAGCGTGTCACCGCCCCGCCGTGCCGAGGGACCGAGCCCCCGGTGCCCGCGTCCCACGGGGAGCTTCCTGCCAACCCGTCCCGGGATCCAGCTGCCGCCCCGCCGGGACCCTCCGCGCTCCCGGCACGTCCCGGAAAATAACAAACCCGTCTCCACGCGTGTGCGCCGAGGAGAGCGGGCGGAAAGCGCTACGTTCCACCGACACACAGGGGGGATCTAGGCGCGGCAGGCACGGTCCGCCCGCGACACGCGGCGTTCGGGCTGGCCCGGGCGCGCTCCCCCGGAGGCCCCGGCGGGCGCGGCGCTTTTACCTCCCGGCGTGGTGGAGAAGAGCGTCCCGCCGGGGGTGGTGCAGTAGTCGGCGGGGAGTTGCGCGGCGTCGCTGAGCGTGACGGTGCGGGTGGGGATGGCCCGGCTCTGGCTGGGCTGGCGGCCGCCTGCGGACGACATGGCCCCCGCTCGGCGCCGCGCTTTGTCCCCGCCGAGCGGCGCGGGCGGAGCGGCCCCGCCCCGCCCCGCGACCGCCGCCGCCAGGGGGCAGGCGCCGCGCCGCGCCGCCCTGCCCGCGCCTCCCACGTGGTCTAGCGGTGAGGATTCCTGGTTTTCACCCAGGCGGCCCGGGTTCGACTCCCGGCGTGGGAAGACCGGTTTTTTGGTTTTATTTTGGGTTGAATTTTTTTTTTTTGAGGAGGGAAGGAAGGGTGGTGGTGTCCTGCCGTTCGTTCCGTCCTGCGCCGGATGCCTTCGGCCAGAATGTTTTGGCTAGACCGAGCTGATTGAAGTCACCGGGAAAAGGAATGCATCCACATATCCCAAATCAGGAAAGAGGTTATATCCCCATATCCCATACCAGGAAAGGGCTTGTAGCCCTGTATCTCAAACCAGGAAAGGGGTTGTATCCCCATATCCCATACCAGGAAAGGGCTTGTATCCCCATATCCCAAACCAGGAAAGGAGTTGTATCCCCATATCCCGTATCAGGAAAGGGGTTCTGTCCCCGTATCAGGAAAGAGGTTCTGTCCCCATATCAGGAAATGGCTTGTATCCCCATATCCCAAACCAGGAAAGGAGTTGTATCCTCATATCCCATACCAGGAAAGGGCTGGTATCCCCATATCCCATACCAGGGAATAGCATTCATCTCCATATCCCAAACCAGAAAAAGGGCATGGATCCCTATATCCCAAATAAGGAAACAGGCTGCATCCCCTCATGCCAAGCCAGGAAAGGGCATGCATCCCCTTATCCCACACAAGGAAAAGACACCCATGCCCACGTTCCAAACCAGGGAATAGGACTCATCCCCATATCCCATACCAGGAAAATGGCATATCCAATACCAGGAAAGGGGATGCATCCAAATATCTCAGACCAGGAAAAGGGATGCATCTCCAGTTCCCAAACCAAGAAAGGAGATTAATCCCCATATCCCATACCAAGAAAGGGGACACATCCCCATATCCCGAGCCAGGGAATAGGATGCATCTACATACCCCCAAAAGCACCATCCTGGAAAGCTGGGAATCTCACCCTGAGGGACACGCCAGCCCCAGCACAGCCTCCCTCCCTCCCCTGGGAACACTGATCCTGTGGGTTATTTTTAGCATCCCTCTCCCAGAGGCCAGAGCGGCTGGTTTCTCCCTGCAGCCCTGGATCCCCCGGGGCGAAGCGCATTCCCGGCGGGCCCGGCCGCCCGCATGCACAGGAGGATGGGCGAGGCGGTGGCTCGGGTGGCCAGGAAGGTGAACGAGACGGTGGAGAACAAAAGGGATTCCCTGGGTAAGGCCGGCGCTCCGTCCCGGCTCCCGCCTGGGGCCCGGACAAGGATTGGGTATCCGGGAGCAGGGCTCTGTTTTCCACTGCCACAGTCTAAAAAAAGCTGTCGGCATTCCCTCCCCGCGGCTCCGGAGAAGAGAAAGGCTCCCCCAAAGGGCCCTCGGCCCCACAAAGTTAGAGCAGGTTCACATAATCCCGCGGCGTGTGTCCCCTCCTGGCCAGCAGTGGCAGGAGCAGATTTTTCCCCATGTTGCCGTGTCAGATTTGTGTTTTCCTGCCATTCCCCCATTTCCAGCTAATACCCAAGAGCGGGGTGCACTTCATCAAAGGAGAGAGATGAAAGCCATTCATTTTTATTCCCACTGGATTCCTGGCCCTGGGATATAAACCAGCGTATGCTGGAGCTTCATCTCTGAGGCTCTCCACATCCTCCTGAGAGAATCGTGGGAGGATGGAACTTGCTCCATCAGCCCCCACAGTGGCTTTGGGGAGAGGGCAGGAAGCAGAGCCCATCCTGGAGCTGGGATACAGGGTTTCCATCCCTGGAGTTTCCTGGGAGGGGAAAGAGAAACAACTCAGGACAGAACAAGAAGGCCACGAGGTGAGAAGCACAACGAAATCTTTTTTCCCCCTCCCCACCGCTTGCCATGGGACAGCCACCCATGACCATGAGAAATCCAGCCAGGAGAAATCCCTGCTCCATCCCCATCAGCAGTGGAATAGGCATCCCTGGGCTGCTCAGCTGCCCCCGGGGAATGAGGGACACGGGGGAGCAGGAGGACTGAAGTTGCCAGACCCTTGCCCGGGTCTCTCTGTGCGCAGATCTGGCCAACTGCAAACTGATGACCTTCCCTGTTGGGATCTACAAAGCCATGAGGAGCGTCACCGAGGGGATCCATCGCATCTCCCTGGCCAACAATGAGCTCAAGTCCATCACCAGCCGCTTTGTCACCACCTTCAGCCAGCTGAGAGGTAAGGCACTGCCACTTCCAACCCTCTGGGACACTCCAGGAGCCCCCAGGTTGCTGCAGAGGGGGCAAAGCACCCAAGAGTCTCCCCTAAGCTCACACCTCATTGCAAGCATTAGTTCAGACCCAAAAAAATCCATTTTTGCTTATATCTTCTGGCCCTTGAAGGGTGAGGACACTGGTTCTGCTCTCTCCCACCCTTCTAAACCGGCATCAGCTGATCACGCCCCGGCTCCCGCCAAGGATGGGGCTGAGGATGGAGGAGGACAGGAAATGCAGGCTGGGGATAACAACGGGGCACGGCAATCCAGGCTGTGCCGACTAATTAGTCCTCGTAGTGAGACATCAATGAGAGCTAATCACTGCAGGAGATGGGAGCGATCATCAGCACCGCGGGGACACCTCCCTGCGGAGCTCAGAGAAGGCAGCCCGAGGCTAATCCGCTAAAAAATGGCCATGAAAGCATCCAGAGCGTCCAGCACGGCGGTATTGAACACCGAGGGTGGCGCTGGGGATGCTCGGGCAGCTTCTAAAATCAATTTTGTTCCGACGACCTACCACACAAATGCACTGCGGTGGGTGCCTGGGGAAGCTTCCCTCGCTCTGGAGCCAGAGCATCCTCTGTTTCCTTTCCCCGGGCTGGGGAAAGGAAACACATCCAGCAAAGGAAATCAATTTTCATTTTCTAGACAGCACAACAAGGCCTGAAGGGAAAAAAACACTTTGCTTCCCAGCAAGGGCTTAGCTCCACTTCCAGTGAACCGATCACTCCTGCGATGAGCTGTGCTGGGTCTCAGCAGGAACAGAAGCCCCAGGGCTGGGGACAGGCTGAATAAGGCAGGACCTATAAATACCAGGTATTAGCAGGGGCAGGGCAGCTTGTGTGGGTATTTATAGTGCAGAAAGCCCTGTGTCACTGGAGAAGGGCGCTGAGACAGCGGGGTTTGCGGTCTGGTCCCAGGAGTGCTGCTCCTGGCCCCACAGGAGCTCATTTCTGGGGCAGGACAGCATCACAGTTGGGTAAACTGTGAAAAATAGGCATTTTTCACATCTAAAGACCTCTCTCCCACCATTCTGTTTATTCCCAGAAGGGGTTCAGGCACATGAATATAGAGGGCTAGCCTTAAGCCATGACAAATGTCCATTGGGGAGGTAATTGCACTGACTTTATGAGGAAATATTCCTTATTTTTTACAGGCTCTGCTTGCAAAAGGCTGCCCCATTTCATTAGGAAAGCATTGCTCCTCAATGTGGTATTCCCAGCAGGCAAATCTACAGTGGCAACCATGGAAAACTGAAAAAAAAATATTTAAAAATAATAATAATAAAAATTTTTAAAAAAAGAAGCCAAATTTCTGGAGCTGGAATCCCACTGATGGACCTGGCAGTCCACGGGAGCCAGAGGCTGTAAATCAAGCCGTGCATTAGTTATTTTCCCATCTTTTTCCCTGCATCCCAGCACCTCCCTTCTCTGTTCCCAGAGCTCAACCTGGCAGGCAATTACCTGCACCGCCTGCCCGAGGAAATCACGTCCCTGCTGCACCTGCGGGCCATCGACCTCTCCCGCAACAGGTTCCGGCGCTTCCCGGAGCCCCTGGCCACCGCCCCCGCCCTGGAGACCATCGACCTGGAAGAGAACGAGATCGCAGGTGAGGAGGGCTTTTTCCCGCTGGAAAAAGGCGATTTAGCATCACCCCATGAGAGCTTTCTCAGCCATTTGCCTTTGCCGGGAAAGGAAATTTGCCTCCAGGGGAAAAGCTGCTGCAGGCACAGCGGGAGCCAAGCCCCATTCACCACGCTGGGATGTAGATCTTAAAAGCATCTCCAGCTGGGGTGACCCAAAATCCCCAGATTTCCTTAAAAAACCAGAGCTGATTGCAGAACCCGGCCCCGGAATGCTGGGTCGGGATGTTTGCTGCCAAAGAGCAGGACACCTGAACATTTCCCAGAACAAACAGTAGCTGTTTAACACTACAAAATCCCCTAAAAATTAAATGAAAGGGATGGTAAGAGCCTCTCATCCCTCAGCCCTGCAGCGGCAGGAAGATTTTTCATCTGCAAAAAGCTGAAGGCTTTGGAGCCTGTGAAAGCTGGGCAAAAGGGGCAGCTGTTGTACACAGATAAAAGTGAATTTATTTAGCAGGCAGCCTTCAAAGAGTCCAGGCTGGAGCATCCCACAGCCCCCACGGACCCCCAGGGAGGCAAATATCGGAGTCCACTCAATTTTGCTGTTTTATCTGGGATTGCTTCAGCTGCTGCTGGGAAAGCTGCTGCCTGCAACACTTGGTTTGTTAACAGCCTCACATCAGCTGCTCCCCAGCTGTGCCTGTAGAAACACTGGAATTAAAACCTGCTTCCACAGCAGCCAGAGTAACACACGGCTTTTCCTCACCCTCTTCTTCTCTCCCACCTCCCGGAGAGAGCTGCCTCACTTTTAGTTCTCTCCGTCGCTTTTTGAGTTCAGTTGGGTGATTTCAATCCCAGCTGGTCTCCAAACAGCATTTTCCCCCGCTTGTTTTGTGGAAGCAGGATGCTGCAGGAAGGGAACGCAGCTTTTTGGTGCCTTTTTCCCCTGATAAAATGCAGGGAGGAAAGGCTGCAGCCAGGGCTGCACCCAAGCTGGATTGATCCTGGGGGAGGAGGTGGCTCAAGAGCCCAGGCTTGGTCACCTCCCACCAGGCTCCCCTGGGCTGGGAGGTGTCCTCCAGATGTGGAGAAAATAAAAACAGAGTAAAATGGGACAATTTCAAGCCAAAATGTTGTAGGGATATGTGTGAGTAGTGCACAGGACACTGTCTAGCTGCAGAAATAGGTGATGTGAGCCAATTTTACACATTTTCTGGGAAGGGGAGAGGTAGACACCGGAAAGCCAGGGGCTTTCAGCCCATTTTTTTCCAAGGAAACAAAAACCTGGGCAATCACACCGCTACCAGCAGCCCTTCCCAAACAGGTTCCCCTGCAGGTGAGCTGTGTTTGTAGGGTTGCAGATGCCCTGGTTTGTGGGGCTGTGCCAGTGCTGCTCCTGCCTGTCCTCCCGTGTCATTCCAGGGATGCTGGAGAGGCTCCTGCCAGGGCTGCAAACCCAATTTAAAAGCTCCTGCTGAAACAGCTGAGTGACTTGCTGAGACTATCGAGCTGGAGGTGGTAGGTGATGTTTTCCAAAGGGAAGCAGGAGTGAAAGGAGATTAATTAATGCCTGCTTAGAGCCTGTGGGCTCTGTGAAAGGAGACATTTAATGCCACAAGCCACTCTTTTCATCTAAATAAGCTCTTAACCCTGGACTGTAATTATGTATATATTACTGTCAGTGCTTTTAACTCTTTCCCTGGTAATTAGAGTTGTATCAAATCAGCATTTTAAGCTCCCAAATCCACGGGGATGTTTTGGTGCCTGCAGCTCCAGCTTCTCTTTCCCTTATTCCTTGATTAATGGTTTAATAGGGATGCTGTTGAGCTGCTGCCAGGGCTGGGGAGGTCACTGCTGGGGACAGCTGTGGTTAATTTTGTCCTCCTGAGAATGCCTAGATGGGACAAAGGGGGTGAGTCCAAACTCAGAGCAGGGCTGGATGGGATATTGGGAAGAGACTCTTCCCCCTGAGGGTGATGAGGCACTGACACAGAGACGCTGTGCATTCCTGGCAGTCTCCAAGGCCAGGCTGGATGGGGCTCACAGCAGCCTGGGATAGTGGAAGGTGTCCCTCTGTCCATCCAGGGGTGGACTGGACAAGCTCTAAGGCCCCTTCCAACACAGACCATGTCAGGTTCTGCTTTAATTATGTAAAAAAGCCTTTTCCCTCCCTGTTTTTTGCTTAACCAGTGAAGCCAGCATGAATAATTCAGGCTCAAATGCAAGTGCCTCATCCATTGGGAAGGCAGCAAGGGATGCTTTGGGCTGTTTTTAGGGGAATTTGTGGCTGGCAGGGCACAACCCTACAGCTACAGGCTGCACCATGTGCCCTGCCTGTCCCTTCATGCCAGGGCTGAGTCACTGCTCCTCACCTGGAATTCAGGTGCAGAGCTGAGCTCTTCCCAGCCTGGGAAGGTCGTGGTCCCCAAAATGCTTTACTAAACTCCCTAATTTAAGCAAAATGGGTGAAAGCACTTTTATCATGCTGCGTAAGAGGATGATTAAACTTCTTATTCTCCACTGCCTTAGATGATGATTAAATAGGGAGATCTATGAACAAAAATATATTACTGTTGTGCTTCAAGGGGGAAAAAAACACCAAGCAAAATGATATGGGGGAATGGCAGTGAACAAATCCACCATGAAGAAGAGTTATTAAAAAAATTCATGTGAAGCTGTGCCTGATGAGCTATGTGCTCCTAGGGAATTTGTGTAAGGAAAATATCACCATTTTCTGGAGGAGAAAGAGGGAAAAAACAAAGGCAATGAAGTGTTTGAGTCTTTTTCCAGCATAAAATAAGTTTCATGGTTTAAAAATCACATAATCATCCACCAGATATAATTACAACACCAGAATTCTGCTCCAGGCGCTGGCAGAGGAAACAGGAGCTGGGATAGAAAAGGCTCCTGTCACTCTGGCGGCCAAATTAAAAAGGAATTGGTTCAGGTAAATCAGACAGGTGGGCTTTGCTAGCCCAAAATATTGAAAATCTGTCACCACTTAATGAGCTTTATTTGGGCTAGGTTTTCATGTCAGCCTCATTCCTCTGCTCTCAGTGGATTCACACTGGGACCATCCAGCTGAGCTGCACCTTTTTTGAAATGCAGAGTTTGTAAATGTCGTGTTTTCTAAAAGACAACACCCAAATTCGTGGAAATTGCAAAACAGAAGGGTGCCTCTTGATGGCTGAGAGCCATTTTGCAGCCTGTCCAACAAGGGCAAAGACCAAGGGTCTTCCTGTTAGCCTGGAGAGGGCTCCTGGGCATTGCAACACCGGGATAAAATCAGGGAATAAGTCTTTGAATCCCAGTTTAGTGCCCAGCAGGGGTTTTATTAGCACTGGGAGAACTGGAGGGCAGCCCCCACACTGGGTATCTTGGTGTTTGCACCTTGCTGACACATTCCTTAGAATCCCAGGATCATTTGGGTTGGAAAAGACCTCCAAGACCATCGAGTCCAGCCGACAACCGTTTGCCTGAGCAGTTAGATAAATTAATATTTCACTGTCTTTCTGTTTTGATCAAAGCCTGCAGACAGGCCTAACATCAACAGCAAACCTTTGCTGTTAAACTCAAAAAAGCCTGCAAATTACCACCACGCCTCAACACAAGCAGTAGTGCCTCCTTAGAGTCAATTACACAATCAAATAATATTAATACCTCAATCATTTATCCCTCAGTCAACCATTCCTCAAATAATCCCAACTCAATAGCCTCAGATACAAAATTCAAATTAGCCTCCTCAAAATTAATACACTTTTTAAATAATTTTTGTTATAAAAGCATTCCTACCAAAATTGTCAATTTTTTTCAACAAAACCAAAATTTTTTAATTCTAAGCAAAGCCAACAACAAAATTCTTAAACTTTCAATCCTTCCCACCATTATTTCAATAAATTATAATAAAAACCTAATAATTTTAGCTCTTACATTTGGTATTCCTATAGTAATTCCCCAAAAACACCTATAACTATTAAATTTCTTTTACCCATAAATACACCCAAACAAAACAACTTCCCAAAAACTTCAATTATATCTGTGCCACTTAACACCTCAAACCCTACAACCTTTTAAACACAACGTTTAAACCACAACCAACCAAAATGAACTTAAAAACCTAACCCACCGTATTAAAGCAATTCACGTTACAAACATACCACATACTAATACAAATGTCACTGGGATCTCTCACAGGTTTTAACCCAATAATTTGGGTTAAATATGAATATAAATATAAATATGAATATAAATCCTATATCAGGTTTGTTTCAGGCCGTCCATCAAGGGGAGTTTCCATCCCCTCCACCCCTCCAGGACGGATCCTCACCTCCGTGCTCTCTTTCCAGAGGTGCCGACGGATAAATTGGCCTCCATGGCGTTGCTGCGGAGCCTCAACCTGCGCGCCAACCCCGTGGGCCCCGAGGTGCGCCTGCTGGTGCGGCCCCTCGTTCCCTTCGAGCTGCTGCTGTCTCCAGAGGAGCCCATTCCCAAAGCCTGACAGCACCCCGGGCTGTCCCGAGGGGGCACTGCCCGCCGGAGGGGTTTGGCTTAGCTCAGTCCCTGCTACGCCCCCGTTTCTGCCCCAACCCTGAGTGAGTGCCTCGTTTTTCCTAAACTAAAAGCAAGCTCCCCCGTGGGGGGGATGGCTCTGCCAAATCCCCGGCCAGGCAATGTCCTGCTTGCGCGTTTTGGGGGCGCAGAGGAGCTGCAACGTTTGTGGTGGGAGGTTTGGGTGGAATTGGGGGGATCTGGGTGTGCAGCATCCCAGCCGGGCACTGCAGCAGCAGTGATGCTGGAGGACATGCCTGCAGCTGTAAGGGCTCTCCCTGGAATTGCTGACACGGTGGTGGTGTGCCAAGTGCCTGATTAAATGCTTTCCTGTTACATCGGGGGGGTCTGTATCTGATTAAATTCGGATTACCACTCTTGTCCTTTGAGAAACCCCTTTGCACAGCTGCTCACTGCAGCCTCCAGCTGGATCCTCACAGACCCAAAGCAGTATTTCCCTGGGAAAATCCTTGTTTTCCAAGGAATTTTTCTTCCCTCCTGTTTTTTCACTGTGGAAACCAAAGTGACCCAAGGCTGGTGGGTCCCCACACGCTGCTCACCCCGTGGCTGTCCCAGAGGTGTGCACCCACCTCTCGGGGGCTGTGGGTCCTCAAGTTCTGCTGATTCCTTTCCAGGAAGAAATGTCCTGGACAGAGTGTTTTCTCAGTGGCAGGAAGGCCACTGCCAAGCACACCCATGTCCCTTAGCAGCTGGCTGCCTGCAAAAAAAAAACCAAAACTCCTGGGAGAAACCCCAGGTGTTATCTCCAAACGCCTTGTTTAAACATCTCCCTTGTTTGTTCCTTTGGGTATTTAAGGGACAAACACTTCCCAATGCTGTGTGCGGGCTGGGGACAGCCAGGAATAGTAAATCCTGTAAATATTTGACTTCTAGACTTGCCAAACTTTGGTATAAAATTATGGTAAGAGATGTTGGGCATGCTGGAGGAGCTGGAGTTGCATGGAGCAACCTGAAGCCAGGACCAGCATCCCTAAACATTGCGCTGCTTTTCCCTCTGTGTGGATTGATGGGTGGGGGATCTCCCCTCTCGTCTTGAGGCTCCTGGCACATTTTCCTCCCGGGATGGACAGGAGCGCTGCTGGGGACACCGGCCACCAGCTGCCAGCATTACTGTGGGGACCTCGGCGGCAGCGGGGGGACACAGAGCCGGACCCTCCCTCGGGAGCGAACCCGCTCCCTCCCTCTCCGTGCCCCGCGGGGGCTGCTCGCCCCCGCGCTGCCTCATCCAGGGGGGCAGCGTGCGGGTCCCCCGGTATCCATGGCGATAGGAGGATGTTTCCCCCCGCGCCCCCTCCCCTTCTCCGCTGCAGCCGGCGAGCAGCCGCACCCGGCGCGGCGGCACCGCGGCGGCGGCACCGGGGCTCCGGACCGGCCGGGAGGGACGGGGCGAGCTGCGCCCCCTCCCCGGGCAGCAGATCGCCTCCGGCCGTAGCGCCTGCACGGCAGCGATGCAGCCCCCGGAGCCGGGTCGGGCCGGCGGAGGTGAGTGCCGAGACGTGATTGATTTTATCCCCCAAAAAAGCTATCCACCCCGCATCCCAGCCCCCTATTCCATCAGACCAGCCTTTCCCCGCCGTGGTTTCCCGCAGCCGGGCAGGGAGGCAGGTGATCCATCACCCCCCGTGCTGTCCCCCATCCCCTTGTCACCACGTCCGAGGTGTCAGTCAGTGCTGAGCTGAGGACGCCTGCATCCATCCATCCATCCATCCATCCACCCGTTCATCCATCTATCCACTCACTCACCCACCCGGCTGCTCAGCAGTCCCTTATTTTTCTTTCCCCGTCTTCCACCTTGCTTTAAAGCCACCTCCAATTCCGTAGGACACCAACCTCCTGCTCGTGCTGCACTGCAGCCCCAAAAGATGAAGTCCAGCAAAGTTTTAGGCTTAATATCACAGGGTTTGGGCGATCTCATTACAGTCTTTGTTATTGCTCCTGCTCACAGAGCTGCTTCACGCATCTGACACCGACTATGTGGAGGATCTTGCCCCCTCGATCCCGCTCCTCCCTTGCCTCTCCAAGAGGCTCCTTCTCCGTGTCAGCTGCAAACCCCCCCAGCGCCTTTCTGAATCGCCACTGGAAATGTGTTGCCCAAATCCTGCACCCAGGACTGGGGTGTTAGGGGCTGGATAGGGCACCCCTGCCTGCCGGAACCTTGAGGAAGCCGGCGGTCCCTGTGGCTGGGAAAAGCATCTCGGCTGGCGAGCTGAGCACCGGCACGGGCACAGGGATGCGGGGATGCTCCAGCTGCCCAGCACACGGCGCCTTTGCAGGGCTGTCAGCGCAGGGCTGACCTGCAGGCGCTTAGGCTGAGCCTTAAAGCTAAAATGTGCCTTTCCTCGCCTCAGCACTGCAGCCTGGATTCTCCCGGAGTCAGTCCCGTCACCGCTGCAGGCAGCTCCTGCCCACGCCCGGCATCCTCCCGCATCCCTGGCTGCGTGCGGCTGGGGAAGCCCGAGGGTGGGAGCTGCCGCTCCCCGCTCGATCCCTACTGACAAAATGCCACCCCCGCCTCCACCAGGAGCTCACAGATAATGATCAGAATGACAATTATCACTTTAGACGGGAGGGGAGGGGAGGGGAGAGGAGGGTGTCCTCTGCCTCAGCCCCTTTCCCCTGGTTCTTTGCCGGGGAGAATAAGATTTTGCAGAATACGGAATTGTGAACCTTGGAAGCACAAGGAGAAGCAGCGGCAGCAGCCCGAGGGCAGGGATACTCCCAGGGCAGCCGCGGCTGGGACCACACGGATCCAGCTCCCATAAGGCCAGAGCACTGGAGTGTCGGGATGTGGATTTGTCTTCCTTGCATCATCCCTAAAAAAAAAAAAAAAGCCCAGGAGATTAGGATGTCTTCTGGGCTGCTCTAATGCCTCATCAAAAGAATGATGCAAATAATAATGATATAAAGTAATAACGATATCAAACAATAATTGTATCAAATAATAATGATATCTATGGTATCAAACAATAATGATTTAAAATAATAATTCAGCCGAGGTGCTGTGTAACCCAAGGAGAAGGAGACTTGTTGGAGCACAAAGATAAGTCCAGCAGGACATGTCCCAGCCAGTCTGGGCACTGGAATAAATATGAAAGCCCACCTCTGGAGGCATTGAGAAATGAAGGGAATAATTGTTTTGTTCTCTCCCGGCTTCATTTTCCTGCCTTCCCTTCCCCAGGCCCTTCCAATGGCACCTGGTGGCCCAACTCCAGCGCCAGCCACCTCCCGAGGGAGAACTACACCTTCCTGGCCTACTACCAGCATTCCACCCCCGTGGCCCTCATGTTCATCCTGGCCTACACCTTCATCTTCCTCATGTGCGTGGTCGGCAACGTGCTGGTGTGCTTCGTGGTGGTGAAGAACCGCCAGATGCGCACGGTCACCAACGTGTTCCTCCTCAACCTGGCCATCAGCGACCTGCTGGTGGGCATCTTCTGCATGCCCACCACCCTGGTGGACAACCTCATCACAGGTGAGCAGGGAAGAGGAAGGGGAAAGGCTTTTTTTTTAACTTTTTTTAAGTTCTGGCCATTTGTGGTAAAATAAGTTTGGCCCCAATGCTGCATTTGCATATTTGTTTGAAGTTCACCAAGCAACGTTGAAAAAAACTCCTTTCTGCATTTACCTTCTCCTGTGCTGGCTCAGCTCTGCCTGTTGACCTTTCCAAAGATAAGGGAGTTGGGAGGGTTCAGCTGAAGCAGCAGCCAGGCCACAGGGCAGGGTTTGTATTTATTGATTTTGGGGTGTGATTTATTTATTGCCCTGGTATTGGGGTCAAGAAACAAGATGAAAGTCCTTCTGATTGAGGGTCCCAAAGTCAGTAGGAAAAATGTCAGCCACCATATTCCTTGAGTTTCTAAGCGTAATGTGCATCTTTTTTACAAATGTTGGGGTTCTTCTTCAAGGATCCATGCTGCTAAAGGCTATCTCCACACAAGGACTTAGCATCCCCCAGCAACAACACAGTGGATGGGGACACCTAAAGGGAGCTGGGTGAGCCAGAGGTCCCTACAGCCTCCATGGTGTCCCCTCACAGGTTGGCCCTTTGACAACGCCATGTGCAAAATGAGCGGGCTGGTGCAGGGCATGTCCGTCTCTGCCTCTGTTTTCACGCTGGTGGCCATCGCCGTGGAGAGGTACGTTGGCATGGGGACGTGGGGACCAAACCATCTCCCGCAGGTCCAGGTGCCCTGTGGGGTTCCCGTTGCGGGAAAGCTCCTGGGAATGTCAGGAGCCTGTCACAGCTCTCCAGGAGGACCACAAAGCTGTCCGTGGGGCATTCCAGCAAGGTGTCCTTCCCCAGGCTGGGCTGAAAACACCAACCTATCTCTGCCACCAACAGACACGTGTAAAGAGCAACCCACCTCGCCCTCCATCCCCACCGCTGGGTCCTGGCCATCCTCCTTCCTCAGGGATGTCCCCACCAGGTGCCCAAAGCCACCATGAGCTGTTGTCCCACAGGTTTCGCTGCATCGTCCACCCCTTCCGGCAGAAGCTGACGCTGAGGAAAGCCCTGCTGACCATCGCCATCATCTGGGTGCTGGCCCTGCTCATCATGTGCCCCGCTGCCGTCACCCTGACTGTCACCAGGGAGGAGCACCACTTCATGGTGGACACCTACAACAACTCCTACCCTCTCTACTCCTGTTGGGAGGCCTGGCCCGAGACGGGGATGAGGAGGATCTACACCACCGTCCTCTTCTCCCACATCTACGTGGCTCCCCTTGCCCTCATCGTCATCATGTACGCCCGCATCGCCTTCAAGCTCTTCAAGTCGGTGGCGCCTGCCCACGGCGGAGAGGAGCCGGAGGGGAGGAGGATCTCCCGGAGGAAGGCCAAGGTCATCAACATGCTCATCATTGTTGCCCTCTTCTTCACCATCTCCTGGTTGCCCCTCTGGACGCTGATGCTGCTGACGGACTACGGGCGGCTGAGCGAGGGCCAGCTGCGCCTGCTTGCCGTCTACGTCTACCCCTTTGCCCACTGGCTGGCCTTCTTCAACAGCAGCGCCAACCCCATCATCTACGGCTACTTCAACGAGAACTTCCGCCGGGGCTTCCAGGAGGTCTTCAGGGCCCCCCTGTGCTCGCTCCGCTGCCAGCGCGGGCCCTACACCCCCCGGAGCCACGGCCGCGGGACCCTCTTCGGCGCCCGCAACCGCGTCTTCACGCGGGCGCGCAGCAGCGACTCGCCGGCCGTGTCCGAGTCAGGGCCGCTGGCCCCGCGCCGCGCCGGCATCCCCGCATGGGATGGCTGAGGGGCCGCGGCCACCAAACCCCTCGGGACAGAGGGATTGCGGGGTGGGGAGTGGGGAT